CCCCCCCCCCCCCGCCGCCTCTGGCCTAGAACAACCAGAGCTTTTCCCACAGGTCAATGTTCACACTGACCTGAATCTAAATGCTCCCTTTTAGCACTAGCCCCAGCTCCTGATAACGCACCGGCCTTGCATGAAAATCCACACAGATCTCTTTGCATGGACATTCCTTGCTTTCTGCTTCAGTTTCAAGCTTTGCAGAGCTGACAACTGCTCGCAGAGAACTCCAGGACCGAATGGTGATGGAGAGTGAGGGTGGTCCCTACTCCGACTGGGACTTCTACCAGAGGCCTGAGTGAAGTGGGGGCAGCTAGGCAGCTAAGCTGGTGTCCTGGCTATGTAATAGCTGTGGTACCTTGGGCCAGGCACGTAGCCTCTCTGAGCTTGCATTTATTCACACAGTTGTAAAATGGAGCTGGCAATAATTATTACCATGATGTACTATGAGGGTCTCTGTGGATAGATTTTGGAGCAGAGTCCAGCACACTATTGTTGAGCAAAGTTTGAATATATGCCTCTCGATCTATCCATCCATCTATCCATCCTTCCATTCATACACATATACACATGTATGTAGATATATTCATACAGAAAGATATATACATAAATGCACATGTATCTCTACCTAGTGATATATATTATTACCAGAGGAATTTTGCTTGCTTTTCTGCTTCCAGCATGATAGTTTGTGAAGAGAGTGGGATTACGTCACGCTGTTGCTTATAATTCTTGCTTGTCTCTTGAGTGTCCTGGCAGGTAAACAGTCTGCCTTCTCCACAGCCCTCAGCCCACATATAAACTTCCCAAGCTCCCTGCACACACCTCTTTTTCTCAGACCACCTGCTCCCTCAGAGATCCTGGTTCTAGACTAGACCATCTTTCTACCGAGACAGTCTTCCCCAAACACATAGTTTTCTCTTGCATGTTCCTGGGGAATCTGACCCAGCTCCCCAGAATCCCCAGATTCTGTAGTCATAGGCCAGTTTCCTCACTCTGTTCTCTCTATTCTGAGTCTCCAAGATCAGGAACACAACTAGGGACATGGCTGTGACACCAGCTGCTCTATTCTAGTTCTGACCTTAGTGTCTTATGAAGTGCACCCTGTGGAAGTATGAATGAGTGAAGGAGCTTCCCACTCCCAGCCTGTGCAGAGTGCTCCTCCATCCCTCCAACTGTCTGACAGGTGCGAAGAGTCTCCTCTCCTGATGCCACCTGCTGAGGTCTCTTTGAGTCAGTCCCATACCATGATACCTCAGTGCTCCTGTGTTTGGAGGTAGTAGCTCTCCAAAGCTGGGGTGAACCCTTGTGGCTGGCACTCTCTGTCTCTACCTGTGCTGGGCAGAAGCAAGGATATAGGCAGTGCTGGACCCTGGCTCTATTCAGTGCTGGCGAAGGATGTCTAGCATAGCACTCAGGAGGAGGCAGCCCCTTTACCAGCAGCATCTGCATGGTTGAAGAAGTCCAGCTGTCAGCATGGGCAGGCTGGAACACAGACAGTGCCTCTTCCCAACCACTGCAGATGACAGGCTCTGAGAGTACTTGTGACTATAGACTGTGAATCCACTGTTTGGCAAGTTATTCAAACAGGCCTAGAAACCCCAGTCCTGCATGGTCTCACTCTTATGTGGAAGCTAAGTAGGTGGTCTCACAGATGTAGAGTAGCATAGCAGCACCCAGAGGCTGGAGAGGAGTGGGAAAGGGGCTGGGTAACAGTACAAGCAGCAGCTGGATGGGGGTGGGGTGGGGGTGGGGCACTCAACATGACAAGCTAAAACACAACAGGCAAGTTGTGATGGAGACCAATTGTACCCTTAAACCAGTCAGCAAGGAGCATTCTGAATGTCCCCAACACTAAGACATAGCACCTTTCAGAGGTAGGATATCTCAGTTACTCTGATCTGACCATTACACATTGTTTACATGTATTTAAATGCTATACTACATACCATAAAAATGGATAATCATTGTGTCAACTAAATTTTTTTTTGTGTCTTTTTTGAGACAGGGTCTTCTTGTAGCCCCATCTGACCTGGAACTTGCTATATAGATCAGGCTGGCCTCCATCTTACAGATATCTGCCTATCTCTGTCTCTAGAGTCCTGGGACTAAAGGTATGCCTGGCTCAACTAAATTTTTTTTTTTTAAAGCAGTCACTTAACCTTCCCGAAGACTCATTTGACCTGGTGTGTAAAATGGGAATGATGCTGTTGTCTGGGAATGTAGCTGGGGATGAGATGACACGCTGCACAGATAGGGGTATTCAGTAGAGTTTCTTGAAAACAAAGTGAGTGAGACATAGGGCAAACCATAGGTGATATTTGTTGCCGATGATAAAAATTGAACTTTCAAGTAAAGATTATAATTGTGGAGAACTTACATTGAGATTGACAGTGTCTCCTCATCAAAGAGTTTTCTGATGGGATGGTGAGGTCGGTGACATGGGACTTTTGATACTGCACAATGGAAGGTGTTAACCATTGGAAGGCAAATCACAGCTGGGGGGCATTTCCACCCAAAGCACAAGACAGACCAATGGGGTTTAGGGGAGCAGCAAGGTAGATGTGGGTGCAGATCCCACCTGACAGCTGCCCTTTGAGAAGCTCCCATTGGCTATGATATATGATCAATGTCTAATTATCTACCAGCAGCTGAATGGACTTTTCAAATGCTTCTCCCTGCCCCAACCACACATCTGTATGAAGCCAGGTTTCCTTCTTCTTCTCTCTCTCTCCCTTTTTTGGGTCTTGTTTTTGAGACACGGTCTCCCTGTAGCCCCAGCTGACTTGGAACTCACCATGTAGAAAAGGTTGGCCTCGAACTCACAGAGATCCATCTGCCTCTGCCTCCCAAGTGCTGGGATTAAAGGCTTGTGCCGCCACACCTGGCCTAACAGGCTTCCTTCTTATAGTTCACCCCAAACAACTTATCAGAACAGTCAGTACAGAGCAGACAGGGAAATCCAGAATTGCCATGAAGTTAGACATTAAAGAGATTTACAAAATCAGAAGATGCTGTTGCCCTTCTCAAGTTGTCTTAACGATATGTATACTATATAAATTTGTGATGGGTATAGAATTATTTTTTGATGAACTAAGAAATGGATATTTCAAAATAGCCTGTGTTCGTGTCTAAGCTGTCAAATATCAGCCTATATAAGAGTAAGTTCTTAGAGTCCTGGAAAATCATACAAAGGTCCCAAGATCCAGGTGTCTAAGAACTTCTGGCGTAAGGGGATGAAAAGATAGCTCAGTGGTTAAGAGCACTGGCTGCTCTTGCACAGGACCCAGTCAGTACTCAGCACCCACATGGCAGTTCATAACCACCTATAACTCCAGTTTCAGGGGATCTAACTCCCTTTCTGGCTTCCTGGGGCACTGCATACATGGGTACACTTACATACATTCAAGCAAAACATTCATATACATAAAATAAAAATAAAACATAAGCCCTTTTGGTATAAAAGGTGAGAGCGTAGGACCCAGAGCCAGGCATGACTGACCTCTAGTCCCCACTGGGCTGGTAACCAGGTATGCGACTTGGGTAAGTGATTTTGGACTTCTTGGTAAATGTCTCCCCATTTTTCCCCTGCCAGTGAGGAAGGCAAGTATTATTGCAGCCTTGCTTTAAAGGAGACTTGCAAGGACTGGAGGTACAAAGGGCTGTGTGGCTTAACTCAGCTGTGAAGAGAAAAGGGACATGAGACACACAGCAAGATCATAGGAGGCTGACCTGAGGGTGGTATCTACTGCCAATGATAAAACTTGAGCTTGCAAGTGAACATTACAATTTTAGAAAACATGTAACAACTTCCCATTTGGATGGCCCCAAGCTTGGATGTCACTGCCGGGGCCTCCTGTGTTTCTCACGGATGAAATTTGGTTTTGCTTTGTAAATTGGCACCTCTTCTTGAGATGGCCAAAGATGCCCATAGGAGCTGGAAGGCCATCGCTGGGAACCCTGGATCTGAACGTACCCTGTGTTCCTGAGCTGGGGACCCCATGGCACAACATGCCAGTTCTGACAGCACTCATTTTCTTGAATGTCCTGCTTACCTTTCCCAGCTGTTTCAATGCCAGAAACAAGTTCCTTGGGGCACACTGAAGTCGTGCCTGGTTAGGAAGCATCACCTCTCTACAGAAGACAATCTGGGGTCTTCCGAAGGCACAGGAGACACAATTATTTTTGCTATTTCAGTTTCTGTGTTCTGAACTTTACAGAAAGTACCCAAAAGCTGTTTTCATGGGATTTTCTGCCTTTTGACATCTCTCACTTGGTATCCATTTGACCAGGAAGGAGCAAATTCCAGGCCATTGCCCTTAGCTCCTATGCCCAGCACAGCTCAGCCCAGGGAACAGGAGTAACACAGCACTGCATTTGTTCACACAGACTTTCAAGGGTTTAGCCTCAGCCCACACCTATGCTGATAGAGACTTTTAGTGACTGTTAGTCCCTTCCTTCCCTGGGGCTGCCTGTTGCCATGACAGCCTCCCTGAGCAGCAGAAAATACCAAGGGTCATAGTCCCACTTAAAAAATCTACCTGTATTCTCAGAGACTGGCTTCTGTATAGCGCCCCCAGGCAGGTCGCATCTACTCAGTAGGATTGCTTGAAGGAGGACTAGGGCCATATTGCAAAAGCATGCCCTCAAATGTACTGGGCGAAGCTCTTACAATTACCCTGTGCTAGAGCTTGAGTCAGAAAGGCTGTGAGGGATTTAGAAGGGTGGGATTCAGAGCAGAGGATTTTGAGGGTGTTAAAAATGAGGCAATAACCCCCCACTTGCATTCTGGGGTATCTTTAGGGAAAATAGAGTCAGGCATGCCTATCCCTGCCAGGTGGGGATGGTTCAAAGCTCTTCTTGTCAAGGTGAGCTTAGCCCTACTGGTATCACTCAAGCCAGGCATGTCCCTGTACTCTTGCTTGAGATGGCGGGGTTCAGCTGGACAGCCACTGGTGAGGTTGCGGGGGACAGAGGTGGTGCTTACAGCTCAGTCACGTCCTTCGGCATGCCTTTGGGGAGGGCACGCAGCCCCTTGTTGCTGCATCGCACCACTGTCTCCACGCAGGTGCACTGCTCGGGGCATCGTGGGCTCAGCTGGCAGCTGCTCTCCTCGTTGCCTGTGGAAAAGCCCGGCAGGGTGTTGGAAGATGAGCCCCACCAGACCAGCAGTTGGGTAAGGCTCGGGCATAGAGCCAGACTGTTCCCCTCCAAGGCCAGCTCTGCCCACCCCCAACATGGAGCCCGATCCAGCATGAAGGTAGCTGCTGGTCTCCCCAAGTATCAGAGAGAAAGATGCATGTCTGGGGATGTGGGAAGGGATGCAGCTGTTTACTGCATAGCCAGACGGGGCAGAGCCCTGTCCTTTCCTTCCCTCTTTCTGCTTTCTTCTCCCCACCAACCAGGATATAGTTGTGTCCATGGCGAGTATGTCACTAGCCTTGTTATATCTTAACATCAATTAATCTAAAAAACAGTTCATCTGTCCTTAGATAATCCAAAATTCATCAAATAAAGAATTATATTGGCTTGAATTTACGCAACCAAATATACCCTGTGGGTCTTGAAAACCAAAGGCTGATATTTGTGGGTTCATGTCTTTTAGTCAATGATAGAATTGTTTTAAAGACTTTTCTCATGAGCACATACTCTGAGCTTCATCAAACACAGACAAGAAGACAGAGGTCCAAGTCTACCATGTGTAGTTGTATAGGCTATGGACAGCACAAGAGGGCCCTACCATTATGGGGCACCAATTATGGTGGACATGGTTGATGAGTGTATTTGATACAATGGTGTTCATACAGAAGGCAGTGTCTTGTATAAACAAACATCTTGTTCTAATAAAATCAGTACAGACATCTGACTAATGGAAGCAAATTGACTTCAGAAAGGAATACCATGTGAGGAAGGAGCCATGTGGGCTAGCAATGGACACATAGAGACTCCAGAGCTCTGCCATGAGCCAGGGGACAGAGTGGAGTCAGAGCTCTGGGAATCCTGAGCTGGAGCCCTCAGCAGCCTGCCTTGCCCTCCCAACTTGCTCCCCTCTCACCATCACAGGTGAAGTCTTGGACGGCCACATCCTGGATGGGGATCTCCTTGAGGAAGAAGGGCTTCTGGCACCTTGGGTTCCCGCTGACGATGCGTCGCTTCCTTAACCACCGGCCAAGCCAGGCCAGGTGGCAGTTGCAGTTGAAGGGGTTGGACAGGAGGTTTCTGAGGGAGAGAGGCCTCTTAGTGGTTAGGGTCTACCCTTGTGCCTGGCCGAGGGCCGGGGGTCGACTCCTGTAGCTTAGGTTAGTTCTCCCTGGGAAGAGATGGGGTCTCAGCAGGGAATATAGACTCCTTCTCTAAACCAGGGAGATGTTTAAAGCTGTCCTCCTGGAGTGGCCCGTACTGATGGGTATGCTGTAGTCTCTGGCCTCAGCCTCCCCTGTCTACTGAGTCCTACTTGGGCAGAGGTGGTGATCCCTCTGTGGAGAATTTCTTCTACTCTAGAGCTGTGTCTGTGCTCCCCTTCCTGGCAGAAATGTCTATAGTTTGCTGGGCTGGGAGTCATCAGTGCCCTGACCTGTGGCAGCTCACACTGTTCCTTCTCCTGTCCCGACCACTTCACTTTCTCCTGGTAGTGTCAGTGCCAGGGTTGGCTGTGCTCCCGTTGGCAGCTACCTGGCCCACTGACTGAGTCCTGTGAGGGTGGCAGTCTGCACACAACAGGCGTTTTGGCCCTGTCTGTGCAGCAGCATGCTGGACAGATGTGGGTGTGAGGGATGGAGCAGCTGTCACTCTAAGTGCTTGCCTCAGGCCTGGGACCATGCTAAGTGACTTGCACATGCAGATGACTGCAGAGGGTGGAGCTGGGATGGGGAGGTAACATTTGAGCAAAGGAAGGAGGGAAGAGAGGCTGAAAGGGGGTATCCCAGGCTGTAGGAACCAGTGCAAAGACCCTAGGAGGGGTGTGGGAGTGTGGAAAGTGAGGTCAGCAGGGCTGGACAGGAGAGCAGAGGGGTTTACCATTGGGAGAGTCTAGATCATTGCATTTAGGTAGGGGGCAGCAGGTGGGAGTGGAAGCTTCTGCTGTCTCTCCATCTTTGGGGAAGGGATGAGATAGGACAGTTAATTACTTGCTCAAGACAGCAGCAGCACATGGCAGTACCATGGAGATTGTAAAATGAACATGTGTAGAATCCAGAATTTTCTGTCCTATAGGCCTGGCTATGCAGTTTATACATCAGCAGGGCTGGTCCTCATAAGAGTCTTGGGAGGTTTTAAAACCTGATGCTGTGGTGATCCTGATGTGCTTTGAAGAGTAAAGCAGCTACGGAAGCCCTGCAACTGACTCTGGCCTCCTCTCCAGTCTCACGTTATACTGTGTCCTCTCACACTCAGTGCAATGGCCATGCTGGGCTTTGAATATTTACTCTGCTCCAACCAACCACAGAAACTTTGCAGTGGTGTTCCTGCTCAAGAAAATACATTACTGCTTTCTTCAGCACACTAACTATGCTGGATAGATTCAGTTGTCAACACACCCGGGAAGAGGTAACCTCACATGAGACATTGCCTCCATCAGACTGTCCTGTGGGTATGTCTGTGAGGCAGCTGAGTGATGTGGGAGGGCCCAGCCCACTGTGGGTGGTGCCACCCTTGGGAAGGTGGTCCTGTATTGTATAAGAAAAGAGGCTGAGCATAGGCAGGGGAGCAAGCCAGTAAGCAGTGGCATTCTTCTGGGATCTTTGTCTCAGTTCCTGTCTCCGGTTTCCCTGCCCTGGCTTCCTTCAATGATGAACTGTGATTGGGAGGTATAAGCCAAATAAACCTTTCCTCCCCAAGTTGGTTTTGGCCAGAGTTTTTTTTTTTTTTTTTCAATCATAGCAACAGAAGGCTAACCAGAATATTAGTCTTCCAGAATACAGATCTAGTGTTTCTCCACAGAACCCAGGTTGGGCTTTCTTATCACTACAAGCCACTATGCTGCCAGCTCTAGGAGGAGGAGCCAGGCCTGTAATCCTTAGTACCTACACGTTACTTGGCATGTAAAGAAAGCCTGGCAAATGTCAATTAAGTGGACAGATGGGCAGGTGAGCTTGGTGATAGGCAGTAGGGAGCTGGGAGCTGGGATTTTGGGTAAGTCTGCAGAGAGTGGTCCAGAGGGAGTGGGTGGCAAGCTTGAGAGAACTCACATGGTAGACAGGGAGACCAGTGTGGTGAAGGCTCCGGGGGTGATGGTGGTGATCCGGTTGTCATAGAGCGACAGCAGCCGCACTGAGCTCAGGCCAGCAAAGGTGTCGTTGCTCACGCAGCTGATCAGATTACTTCTCAGCATCCTGGGGTAGGGAGTGGTTGGTGGTCACAGCCGTGTTCTTGCCTCTTGAAAGGTCACAGCCACCTCCTCGCTCTGCCAGTCACTGCTTAGTTTTGTCTGGCAGTGAGCAGAGCTTGGATCCTCAGTGGGTCAAGCATAGGCATCTCGTTTGTGCACTTTCCATAGTGTAAGCACAAGCCATGCCTACCCATGTGCACATGTGTGCATGGTATGGTTGTTTGTGTATGCACATTTATTTCCAAGAGAAAGAAGGGAATCAAGCAGCTCCATGCCTGGAATCTGTGTTATGTGTGTGTACTTGAATGTGGAAGCTTGCTTGTACACGTTTTGGGACATGGCATGTATGCCTGTGTGTTTATGTCCATGTGAGTAAATGTGTGTGTGTGTGCGTGTGTGTGTGTGTGTGTCCCAACATGTTTCTTCTGTGAAAATATGCATGAATGTTCATTAGAGTGACTCTGGGTGGGGTGTATTTGGACGTTGTGTGTGCTGGGGGCATTTAACAAGTCAAATTCCTTGCATCAAAGGTGGAAAAGTCTGATGCTGTAGGGAGGAAGGAATCCATGGGCCAAAACAGCACCTGACTCTGGTCCCTGTACACCAGCCCACGTGGTCTGGTGCTAATTCCCCTGCCCTTCTGCCTCCCTCTGGTCCTTGGCCCAGGCCTGATACTCACAGGGTCTTGAGGCCACTGAGGCCCCGGAACATGCGCCCATGCACATTCTCCAGCTGGTTCCCTGTAAGCATCAGCTCCTGCACGCCGGCAGCTCCATCGAAGGCACCCTCCCGCACCTCCTTGATTCTATTGTTGCTGAGGTTTCTAGAAGGAGGGAGTGGAAACAGAAGGATCAGGTGCTGGAAAGAGCTCAGCTTCAGGCTCCCTGACTGTAGTTCTTAGCATTTGTGCTCTGGGTCGGGCCACCCTCTCCCCAACAGGTGGGGACCGCATTGTGAAATACACAGCCTAGGCTTTGAAGGTTTATCAGTGCAATCACCTTCTGAAGGCCCTGGTGGACTCAAGCTCATTTCCTCTCTTCACCAGGAGTCTCACTGGGGAGGATTCTCAGAGTAGGGCATAAAGGCAAACATAAAGCAGGCCTCCTTCCATGGCCGTCACCACATTTGGAGAATGTAGCACTCTCGGTGGACACTTTCTACTTGGTAGGGATTGAATACTTATGCACTAGGTGCCACATAAAAGTCCAACCATTATAACCACACCAAACCCCAAGGCAAGGCCTGACAGTTACTGTCATCCCATTTCACAGTTGAGGAGACTGAGTTTCACATAGATTAACTTTCCCAGAGTCACAGCAGAGAGAGTTGGAATATAAAGTCAGGCTTTCTGGCCCATAAAACATTTTCCTGACCAACCCTTCCCTTTTTTCCACTATATTTTTTTTTATTGAATTTTTGTGCTGGGAACCTGTTCATACGATTCTATGGCATAGGTGTCAGCATACACAAGTCCTATTCAAACTCAGGCAGACAACAACTCAGCATAGAATTGGGAAAATGAACAGCAGACCTCAGTCTTACCTGAAGGAATGTTGGCAACTGATTGCTACTAGATGAAGAGCTGATCTTCCTAAAACAAGGGACTCTAGATAGGCTGACTATACTTAGTGGATGGACTTGGACTGGGGAATGGTTGGGGACACTGACAACCCAGTGGGCCTTAACAGGGATGACTGAGTATATGGGCTCCAGTGGGGGGAGAGGCTATGGGAGGGTGCCGGTGGGGATGGGGTTTATAAAGATGATTAAGAATGTTTGAGCTGTTCTGTATGAAATACACAAAAAGTTCAATAAAAAATGCTGTGGAGAGAAAAAAAAAACAAATTAAGGGCTGGAGACATGGCTCAGCAGTCAAGAGCACTGACTACTCTTGTAGAGGACTCAAGTTTGATTCCCAGCACCGACACGGCAGTTAACAACTGTCTGTAACTCTAGTTCTAAGGGATCCATCACCCTCTTCTGACCTCCACTGGCATTGCACAACACAGGTGCACCTACCTACATGCAAGTAATACACTCATACACATAAAATAAAAATAATAAAAATTTAAAAAAAAATTTAAATTAGTGTATGTGTGCACATGTGCACACGTGTCATGGTGTGCATGTGGAAGTCAGGGGATAGCCCGTGGGAGATAATTCCTTCTTTCTAGCATTTCATACAACTTAATCATATTTAGACCCCTTCCCTATCTGCATTACCCATTGCTCCCTCACTGGATTTTATGAATTCTGTCGTAGATGTTAAGGCCTGTTGAGTCAAGTTTGTGTCCCCAGATGTCCCTCAAAGTAAGTTCCTCCACGGGAGCCTGGTCAGCCTGTCAGTGTCACTCCCTTAAAGACCATCTCTCCCTTACCCAGCAGTGACCAGCAGCCAATAGCTACTCAGCTAAGATTGGGACTGCTTATTCCTTTCCCCAGTCAATCCTTCCCTTTTATAAGTGAATGTTTCTCTAGTGATATGGGGACTTGGTCCTTATATTACTGCTTTGTAGAATTCAGGATTGGGGATTTTTTTGTTTCCTTTTGTGTGTGTGTGTGTGTGTATACACGTGAGTGCATGTATGAGTACATATATGCGTGTGTGGAGGCCAAAGGTCAACAACATTGGGTATCTTTCCTAGTTGATCTCTATTTTTTGAGACAGAGTTTCTCACTAAATCTGTAACTTGTCTGATTTAGTTAGACTGGTTGACCAGTGAGCCCCAGGGATCCTTCTGTCCATTTCCCTGGCCTGTGCTGCTGTGCTGGGCTTTTATGGAGGTGCTGGGACAAGAGCCTCAAGCTCAAATGGTAAAACTTGAGTAACTGGCGCATCTCCTCAGCCCCAGGGATCTTGGTTTTTTACAGTGTTCTTGTTCCTGTCAAACCTTGCACTGCCATTCCCAGGTCTGACCCAGCTCTGCGAGCAGGCCCTGCCCTGTGATACCCGGTATCCACAGCATGGGAGGCCACACTAGAATAGAAACCACAGGACTATCTTACACAGCTACAAACAATTCCAGTTCTCAGGTTCTTTCAGAGCCAGAGGTATGAGGTCTCTGTGGTCCATCCTATGGTCCTGGCTGAAGGCACTCATGGTTGGCTGGATGGAGCCAAGCTGGATGAAAGCTGAAGGAGGAGGCCTGTCTCCCTGCACACTGGAGAACCTCAAACTGTGAACAGGAAATCCTGAGGTGCTTGCTGACTCACTGATCACGTGAGGCTGTCGGAACTGCTGTGCTCACAGACACTGGCCAGGTTCCCCATCTTTACTGCTGCAGAGATGACAGCTTCTTGGTGTGGGGGTGGCCTGCTCCATGCCAGAGTCTTAGATGGAGACACAGGGCTGTACCAACACCTCCTCTCCTCACAGAGTGCAGTGCTGAAACTTCCCTGTGAGACCAATTTAGGGGAGGGGGGTAAGGGATGAAATGATGGTCCCCAAGGGTTCAATGTAAACCACTTTCCCTTTTTCCATGTGTGGCCTGGGCACTCAGGGAGCAGCAGTGCCCACCCCTGCAGGTGACTGTGGAAGAGACAAACAGTGGCTCAGTCCCTTTCTTAAATCATCTGCTCCTTGTTCTGTCCTTGTTTCCCAACCCCCTCCCACCCTTCCAACCCTTATGAAGTCCTTTGAAGTTCCAAGGCCGGTGAGCCAAAGTACTCCTAAACTGAACTCCAATCCTGAGATAACCTCACTACCCAGCTCTGTCTCCTTGTCAACTCTTTTAGCCCTGGTCAAGGACAAGCCAGGAATGGGGGCGAATACATGGGAGAGATAGTAAATTACCCCAAACTAGATGTGGGAGTTGAGGTAAAGGCTCTTCCAAGATAAAACTTACTGAACCCTGGAGGAGCAGGCTTTGGCTCCAGGGAGAAGGGCTGCATGGGTATAGAGCACAAGGCCAGCAATGAAGATGAGTTAGAACACTGGAGGTGGGAGGGTTCCCATTTCCTGACATCTGTTTCTTCAGCAGAGCAAAATTAACATCCTATTACTGTAAGGTTTGTGAAGTGCATTTCCTCAGGCTGGGAGAATGAAAACCAGAAAGCGAGTCAAAGGTGTGGGGGGGTGTGGGGGAGTGAAGAACTTTCCAGAAGAGCTGGCTGCTGCTCTCTCTTCATCCATCAAAGCCCGGCTCACCACTGCAGGCTTCAGTGGGGCCTGGGAGGGCTGACGACAGCCCAGAGCAAACACTCCAGAAATAGAAAGAGTGCATCCAGGTTTTTAAGAGTCCTGATGCATTCCCAGCACCATATCTTTCTGAGATACTCAAGATGTAGAACCTGCCATCTAGAGACTCTCTCCCTTTGTCTCCACAGACCTACCTGGAGGAAAGCTGCTTCCTCATGGCTTTGACTCCGATGGTTCAGCCTCAGAAACTCACCCTGGCCCCAGGAGCAGTTCAGAAGGCTCTTGTGTACTCTCTGAAGGCTGCTGGCCGCCCTTTTCAGATCCTGCCCTCATTCACCCCAAGGAACACAGAGGCCACCACAAACTGGGGGATTTGTTGGGCTCCCTCAGGAAGCCTGGGCTCAGGAAGAGGCCAGGCTCTCCTAGGCTATTAAGCCCTGGAGTTGCAGGATGGGACAGCCACTCTACAGTGGGGACAGAGCCATATTCTGTTTAAAGCTCTGTCCCAGGAGAAATGCAGTGGTGTGCTGAGTGGATCTTTCTGAAAACTAAGGACACTGGGTCATGACTGAGCATAAGCTCTGATCAACTACTGGGATGGAGAGGTCCTGTCTTACCATGGGCCTGTCTTTCCTTGAAATGGAAACCAATGCAAGCTCAGGTTGTTCATGGAGCCCAGGCAGGTGACTTAATGGTGACCAGAAGGAGGCCAGGTGGAGAAAAAGGTGACTAAGGTGCTTGCTGCTCGGTTTGACTCCATTGGGCCTTCCTGGGAAGGCAGGAACTGATCTGCCAGGGCATCTGATGGTCCCAAAGGTACCAGAAACCAAGATGTTTTGTTTTCTGTGAAAGCTCCTGGGTTTTAAAAGTGGGAAACTAGTTCTCATTAAAAACACAACAACCAGCAACAAATCCAACCATGTGCACTTGACTTTGGTTAGAGGCCCCACTAGTTTTCAGGCTGTGGCTGAGTCTCGTCAATGTTACAACTGGCCCGGAAGTCCATGGCAGGGAAAACCACTGGAGGGAGACAAAAAGCTCTGAATGTGGGGTTTTTCTCTTGCTCTTTCCTTTCCGTGCTTCTTTCCCTCCTTTCCTTCCTCCCCCCCACCTATTTCCACTTTCCTCCTTTCTCTAGCCTTCTGTTCTGGGGATGGAACCCATGGCTTCATGCTTACTAGGCAGTATCCAAACACTGAGCTTCCCCCAGCTGAGATGCCATCTGAAAATCTGTATCACATTGCCACAGCATCAATGGCCTTCTGCAAATGATCCCGCGTGTGCTCTTGTCTGGGTTCCTTAGCATGTGTGGCACGCATGGGCATCCCAAGGAGGTGAGGTCCAGTTTCATTATTCTGACTGACAGGTAAGGGCCAGAAGTATAGAAAGAACATCAGGGCACAACCACCTTTGCCCAAATCAGAGAGTAGATTAGTTTGAGGCCGTTCAACCAGCCTGCACTACTAGTGTCAATAACTTTGCTGACAGAAATCCAGACTGACCACCAGCTCTGTGGAGAAGGGTGGCAATAGGTCCAGGGCACAAGGAACTTTCACTTGACAGTGGCTGCAGCTGGTGGTCCAGGTCTAGACTTACTCTATGGGGTCCCCTGGTCAGCTGGTTGGTACTGATGAGTGTATGGATTTATGCCTTTGTTGGGGTGACTTTCCTCAGCTCACCTGGCACTACTGCCCACTAGAGTTCTGACCTTGGACAGGTCATGTCTAAGCATCTTCATTTGTAAAGTGAAGCACTCTCAAAGCTTTCTGTTGCTGTTGATGGCAATATTAAAGCAGTATCAGTACTTTCTGGCACAGAGTAAGCAGTTTAACAAGTGTTGGCTGCTAGCTGTTACTAGTTTTATTACCACTATGGTAACCAGGGCCTTCCCAGCCTCTTCCCACCTTTGCCCTACACTCCAGGGCTCCCAAAGTGTCTGTGTGCAGAACTCTTGTTTTATACATGTAAGCAGATACTCTAGGTCACTCAACCCAAATGCTCTGTGCTGGATTCTCACATCTTCTCTTACCTCTTGGCAGAGGTCAGATCTTCCATCTTTTTTTTTTTTTTTTTTTTTTTTTTTTTTTTTTTTTTTTTTTTTTAAAAAAAAGAGGACGATAAATCTTTCACTGTGATATATCAAAATAAGGGGACTGAACCCCAGGTCTTGCACATGCTAGGCAGGCAGTCTACCTTTGAGCTGCTTCAGAGATCCATATTTTCTTCTGATCCTCATCGTTACATCTGAGGAAGGTAGATTTATTTCTATCATGCAAATGATGAAGCTAAAGCTCCCAAAGGGTCTCCTAGTGTCACCCAGCATGGAGGAGCAGAGCCGGATTCAGGGAAATGCTGGCCAACCTGCAGCTTCTTCCTCAAACCTGAATGGCTGGCTGGTCTTGAGCAGTGGGAGATATTTGGAAGCCCCAACCTTCATTCAAGCATGGCAAATATAGGGACTCGCTGAGTGACATCTGTTCCTTTGGATGAAATCTGGGCTTGCATTTGGCCATGTTCCATTCTGTGAAATGTGGTTGAGGCTGGGGACAGGCTGCCTCTTATCACATGCTCTGTTGTTTCCCTTAGCCACAGAAATTCTTTTCTGTGCTCACACTCCATACAAAAGTGGGAATGTCAAAGTAGATATGGAGTGTGTGTGTGTGTGTGTGTGTGTGTGTGTGTGTGTGTGTTTTCTTTGCATGGATGTGCACATACCACAGCATACACCTGTAGAAGTCAGTAGACAACTTTCAAGAATATGTTCTCAATGCCAGGCATGCTTGTGCACAATTTTAATTTCATCACTCAGGAGGCAGAGGCAGGTGGATCTCTGTGAGAAAGAGGCCAGCCTGGTCTACATAGTGAGTTCCAGGCTAGCTGGGGCTACAAGGAGACACTGTTTCAACAAAACGAAACAAAAGTATCTGTTCTCTCCTTCCACCATGTGGTTTTTGGGTATCAAACTCAGGTCATCAAGCTTCCTGCAAGCACCTTTACCTGCTGAGCCATCTCCTGGCTCAAATCTGTACACCTTCATCACTGTATGATGATTCTATAATTAAACATAATTCAGCTAATTGTTTTTGGAGAGGATGTTGTTTTCAGTTCTTTTCCTATCACAATGTTGTGATGAGTTTCCTTACGTATATGCTTTTGAATATAATTGGTTTTCATCCTTCATGTACATACCTAG